CAAAGGCAACGGTGGCAAGGAAAAACTCCCTAAGAGGAAGAAACCTTGGGAGGAACCAGACCCAAAGGGGGAGCCCATCCTCCAGGGGCCGGCAGATGAGTCAAACAAACAAGATGCAATGACTAAGCTAATACAGGGGTTGAAATATATGTCTCAATGCAGCGGCCGACCGGTGCATTACACAATATCCCACTAAGTAAATGCTGGAGAAGGAATGTGCAGCCTCAGCAAGATAAAACATATGACAAATCTGGACAATAGGACATTCCTGCAGCAAGAGTTTTATGGACAGGGAGACATTGCAACTTACCACATGTCTGTTGCTGAACTCAAGGGCTCATAGCGAATCACCTCCGGTGCTGAAGGAAGAGAGACAAGATGTATGGAGGCCAAAGGAATAATGCAGGTGAACAAATTAACATCTAAAAGCAGACTTTATAGAACCTGTACATAAAAGAGTTCACACACAATAAGTAAATGTCAGGGGCCGGTTGCACAAAACACCTTAAGTTAAGATTCTCCTAGTCTGAGGTTTCCTTAAAATAAAGTCCATTGCACAAAAGTCTTTCCTTAAAATGTTACTTAAGCATTTACGTTATTTCCACTTATCCTGGTCTTGTACTTAAGGAATCCCTTAAAGTTCCCTTAACAGCAGCACAAAAGACCAAAGTCAGGAAAAAAACACTTAAGATACGTTTGACATGCAGACAACATGACTGAGTTTATGGCGATAAATTAAGCAAATGAACACATCCTGAGAACAGTGTCCTGTGACTGGGAGTACCCAATGAATACGATTAATAATGATCAATTGATTTTAGCTGACAGTCAATTTATGATTTCATTTATACGGCCTATGACATGTTTATATTTTAAAGTTTTGAGGTAAAAATTTAATAATTCTATGGATAGCTTCCCCCAGCCCAGGAATTCCCAGAGTCTGGGGTTGTGGGATGATACTTCATAGGTGAAAAAAATCCCATTTTAAACTGTAACTGCAACTGGTCGATCGCAATGAATCTACCAAGGGCTCCCCGATCGGCAAAATATATGGAACTTGGTAGCTCGTACTATAATAAAGGTTGGTGACCACTAATATAAACGTAGCAGGAGTTGAGTGTCTCTGGCACCGTTATGATGTGGTCGTGGAATAAAAAGTTTGGGGACTCATGTCACTGGTGGATTTAGGTATGGGCAATTGGGCGGCATGGTGTCCGCACAAGAAAAGAAAAAAGAATGGTGACATTTGCACTTCAGTTTTCTATCACTCCTTTGCACATCACATCAATGGTGATACAATGATGACCCTCTGTGTGGGTCAATTAACCTTGTCAGAGTGGGTGCCCTGATTCTAGTTTCTGAGCTAGACAGGCTACCACTGAAAAGTATGAGATGTTGGAGGGGTGGGCTGACCAAAACAGGAGCTGGGGAATCTATCAAGTAGCGCACCTTTAACTCTGTTCAGTACTAATATAATTAGTAAAATCAGTCAAACTACAAAATGCTGCCAAATACACCACATTTTATTAATTCATAATACTGTATATAGTTTCACAGACATATTTTTGCTTTTTTTTCTAGTTTCTGGGCACACTATTATTGTTGCTGGGGGTGGGGGGGGCCTGAAGGGGGGGTCACCCAGGGCGCCATGCAAGCTAGAACCACCACTGTCCCATGTCCTACCAGACGCAAGCCTTCATTTCATGTAGAATGAACCCAGAAAGCAGCTGAAGCCCTAATACTCTCCCGTATATAGGCAATTATGAGGAAACAGCAGTACATTGTATTACAAATTTGTACACGTTTCTTTTCTGCCTCAACATGACCACTGAAGAATTGTCAGTTTTTCAAATTTAAAATGGTTCCAAAACATTGGTGCTAATATAAGCCCCTAATATATCAGGTAGGTAGAATAGACAGACAGACAGATAGCCTACTTTATTAATCGTGAAAGACATTTAGAAAGAGTCAATACTACTATTCACCAGAATAGCAAGGGCTCAGAATGTACTGTAGGATGTAATACACTCAGGGAGGTCAATAGCTGACACTAATACACCAAGCAGAGTCAGTAATACTTACCAATGTACTGAGGTGTACCACAACTGCTCCTGTACACCACTCCTGGTGTAAGGTACTGAGCAAGTCCAAAATCGATTATCTTGATTTGGGGGACTGGTACCTTTTTGTCTGATAACATGATGTTTTCAGGCTGGACATGCATAAAACCAAAATGGGTGATAAATTATATACAGATTTGATAATACAGCATACACTGTAAACTTTTTTTGGCTGTGTCAATTTATTTAAACCACTTCTAGTGAATTAAACTTCTGGGAATAAGTTTTTGAGTCTGTTCTGTTAGGTGTTTGATGTGTTACTTTAGTGGAATGAATAACCAGGGAAATCAACATTTCCAATGCAATAAACTCAACCCTGCTGACAGCAAACACAAACACAACGCCTGAATAAAGTCAGTGGACACAGTGCGTCAGACACAAGGCAGTACTTTGACGCAAAGCTCCACTCCCTAGGGCTTGGTGACTACAGGGCACTTGAATGAAAAGACAGGAAAGAAAGCCAAGAAGGAATGAACAATGTTGCTGAAGTAAAATTACCGTGGGACCGAGGTCACGGTTGAGAATATTAATGTCGTTCAAGTGTAGAATGTAGCTGAGGTCATAGTGCTGTGTCACATAGATTACAGTGTAGAATGTAACTGAGAGGACACAGTGCCATGTCGCGTAGATTACAGTGTAGAAATAACTGAGAAGACAGTGTCATGTTGCATAGATTATACTGTAGAATGTAACTGAAGGGACAGTGCATATAACACATAATTTAATGAACTTTAAGTGACAGTGCCATGTCACATAAATCAGAGTGCAGAATGTGCAGAACAAGCATGATTACTGTAATCATAAATTGATTTTAGACTACAGTGAACAATATAGCTGAGCTGAAGTACTACCTTGAGATCAAAGTGCACAATCTGCTTGCTGTGCATGTACTTGACTCCCAGTAGGATTTGCTTGATGAATACGATGGCCTCACTTTCCAAAAGATTCTCCTTCTCAGCTATATAGTCAAATAGCTCTCCCCCAGTAATTCTGCAGAGAGGAAGAGCACAGGAGATGAGGAGAAGAAAACAGTCTTCACTGTTTAGAAGGTGAATTGTTCCTCAATTTCAGATGGATGCTGTTGTGGCATGCCATTCAGACTGACTTCAAGCATGTTTCCACTTGCACCTAGCAGACAGTAATGGTCTTTTACAAAGCTTCTTCACAGTCTAAATAAGACCAGCCAGAGATTAACATGGTTAAATGGTTGATTTGCTGCAAGCTTCACCATGTTAAAAATAAAACTTGTGCCTTTAACAAATTATTTATTGACAAGGTGCAACTGATTCCTGTAACAGGTTGGCAGAAAACTGCTACTTTTATCATTCCTACAAGCTGAACCACACTGACAGGTAATTTATTTTTGCCCAGTTATTACAATTAGTTTTCAATCTGTGCCTACTCCATGATGGCAATACCACAAACTACAAGAATTGTTTAAGTAGTGAGCAAGAAGTGTTAAATTAATCTGCAACACATAATGAGGGCCTACTCCAGCATGTGTACAGAAGCTGAGGACATTCATTAAAACCACACAGGTCCAAGCAGCTACAATAGGATTACATGTCCCTTCCACTTCCCCCAAGCTCATGCTTTACTCACAGCTCCATGATGAGCACCAGCTCTGCTGCTTCCTCAAACACATCCTGCAAGGCCATGATATTCTCATGCTGCAGGGCCTGTAGGATTTCCACTTCCTCTTCCACCCTCCTTCTGTCCAGCCCTGGGCCACTGTCCATGACCTTTTTCACCTTCAGAAATTTTCCCGCCCAGTGAGTCCCAGAGGACCGCTCTCGCACATCCCGAACCTGCCCAAAGTGTCCACTGTCACAAAAACAGAGTGCAATAAAGGGATGATCAATGAAGCGGTGACTGAACAGTAACAATGAGAAATTGCAATGGATGCTATGATCATTTGCTCACCTGCCAATCACTTTACCAATTTCATAGAAGTCTTCCACTTTCTCCAGTCTGAAGACCGACATGCTGATCTTTTGTTCTTAGTGTCCTCCTTACTTCATGATCATTCACTGTCCTCCCATGCTGCACCAGTGTGCTGCCCTGCCTGAAAATCAGCACCAGAATCTGAGCAATGATTAACATCACTACATTATACCAAATTCTACATAAAGCAACATTTTGTTTATTGAGTAATATAAGTTGACAGCTTATAGAGCAGGATATTTTACTGCACAAACAAAATTATGGTAAGATTAAGAAACAGGCAAAAGAAATGCTGTTAACCAATGATACAATAAATCATATCTAAGACCTCTAAGGGAAAAATGGGAACATGCTACAGCACAGAGGCTACCCTCGCTCTCGGAGACAATCCTCTTCCAAGCTACAACAGATCTGTAAGACAACAGCTTCAAGAGTCCTTATAGTTAAGCTTGATCTGTACCCAGCATACTCGGTTCACCTATTTCAGGTGAACACACAGAGTAACAAATGTATGATCCCTTAATGTCCATAATACTCTGCATCAGCTCTAAATTCCCCTGCACAGATCACCTGAACACAGGGTTTTTAGAAGTAATTATCCATACATTTTCCAACCATCCAAAAGTTATAAAAGAGCCTTGGAACCCTTCCCAGAAAATATATGACACAGGGAAGGGGAACACCCTGGATGGCATATGGAGGAACACACAACATATGAACAATTTTGAGACACTCGTGACTTTGGACTTTGGGAGGAGCCCAGAGTACCTAGAGGAAACGCGTCAAAAAATGGGGAAAACATGTAAACTTCACTTACACTGAATAGGGCCAGGATTAAAAACCCCTGCTGTGGAGGCTGGAAGTAACAGCACTACCCAGTTAGCAGTAATAAATTCATATTTCAGGTAAGTCCCTGTGGATTAGAATGAAGAATTAGAACTTTGTGGCGGTGTGTGGGCACAGCAAATACTGTCTCCAAGGTTTTGAATTTGAATTCAGGTATGGCTCTCCATGTACAGAGTTTGCATGTACATTCTCTCAAATATTCCAGTTTCCTCCCCAAGTCCAAAAACTATACACTCACCTAAAGGATTATTAGGAACACCTGTTCAATTTCTCATTAATGCAATTATCTAATCAACCAATCACATGGCAGTTGCTTCAATGCATTTAGGGGTGTGGTCCTGGTCAAGACAATCTCCTGAACTCCAAACTGAATGTCAGAATGGGAAAGAAAGGTGATTTAAGCAATTTTGAGTGTGGCATGGTTGTTGGTGCCAGACGGGCCGGTCTGAGTATTTCACAATCTGCTCAGTTACTGGGATTTTCACGCACAACCATTTCTAGGGTTTACAAAGAATGGTGTGCAAAGGGAAAAACATCCAGTATGCGGCAGTCCTGTGGGCAAAAATGCCTTGTTGATGCTAAAGGTCAGAGGAGAATGGGCCGACTGATTCAAGCTGATAGAAGAGCAACTTTGACTGAAATAACCACTCGTTAGAACCGAGGTATGCAGCAAAGCATTTGTGAAGCCACAACACGCACAACCTTGAGGCGGATGGGCTACAACAGCAGAAGACCCCACCGGGTACCACTCATCTCCACTACAAATAGGAAAAAGAGGCTACAATTTGCACAAGCTCACCAAAATTGGACAGTTGAAGACTGGAAAAATGTTGCCTGGTCTGATGAGTCTCGATTTCTGTTGAGACATTCAAATGGTAGAGTCAGAATTTGGCGTAAACAAAATGAGAACATGGATCCATCATGCCTTGTTACCACTGTGCAGGCTGGTGGTGGTGGTGTAATGGTGTGGGGGATGTTTTCTTGGCACACTTTAGGCCCCTTAGTGCCAATTGGGCATCGTTTAAATGCCACGGCCTACATGAGCATTGTTTCTGACCATGTCCATCCCTTTATGACCACCATGTACCCATCCTCTGATGGCTACTTCCAGCAGGATAATGCACCATGTCACAAAGCTCGAATCATTTCAAATTGGTTTCTTGAACATGACAATGAGTTCACTGTACTAAAATGGCCCCCACAGTCACCAGATCTCAACCCAATAGAGCATCTTTGGGTTGTGGTGGAACGGGAGCTTCGTGCCCTGGATGTGCATCCCACAAATCTCCATCAATTGCAAGATGCTATACTATCAATATGGGCCAACATTTCTAAAGAATGCTTTCAGCACCTTGTTGAATCAATGCCACGTAGAATTAAGGCAGTTCTGAAGGCGAAAGGGGGTCAAACACCGTATTAGTATGGTGTTCCTAATAATCCTTTAGGTGAGTGTATGTTTTGTGTGAAATGGAATTGTGAATTTATTTTAATATGTGGACATTTACCCTACTTGGGCCCTATGTACCAGAAATAGCACAGCAATGACCGCAATTTGACAAGTGCTTAAAAATGAAAGCCAAGAGCATAGAAGAGTGTTTGATGTTGATGATGATACAACTTTAAATTTAAATTTAAAGGTCTATTTATTAGGGAGGGACAAATGAAGAAATATTAAATATTGGAGGATACAACCTCCCATCTCCCAGATCCTGTGTCCCCATACCAGATGTGGGCAATCCTTTCTGCAAAGGGCCAGTGTGTATGCAGGTTTTTGGGATAACCTTTAGGTCAGCAGTTCAAACCCAGGTGTGAGGACTCTAGCCAATCAGTCCTCTAATTAGTAATCTAATTAGGGAGATGCAGCGAAAACCCGCATACACACCGTCCCTTTGCTGAAAAGATTTCCCACCCCTGCCCTATACAAAGCTCTCAAACCTGTATTAAATAGTAATTTACAAAATTCCTTGCTTCCGCCCTTTACCTGGCTGGTTTCTGGTTATCCTCAAAGTCTTCTGCTTCACCTTATTATTGTGTACTGCTGTCTTAGAAAGTTTGAACCTGAAAGCAACCAGCCATTTAGCCTTCTGCCAGCAGAACCAGGATTAAACCAGGATTTAAAAATGCAGATTTGTTTGAAAATATAGAGCAGTCTCTTAATTTTTTCCATGGCTGTATATCATAGACTGCCTAACTATACATTCCTAAACAGGTTTTTACCACGTCCACCAACATTCCAATGGCAGTAAAAATGAAGAGAAGCTGTAGTATGTAGATTAATAATCACCAGCAGATACCGAAACTATTTTATCGCTTTGTTGAGTTTTTAAACCGTACCCATCGTCCAAAGCATGCGCTAATTCTGGATAAATGAGCATTACACATTTTCACAGATTCTTCTTGGGTATATAATTTAACTAGTTTTGCTTCTTTAATTTCACAAATATGTTTGCAGTTTATAAGTTTGATGGTAAAAGGACAGTGAACCAAGCACGGATATCCCCGAATCTAGTATTGTAAAATACACATATGATGCCGATAATGACAAAGAATGTGACGATGTCGCATTTTGAAATGGCTTTCTATCGATTTTTTTTTCTTCCACGTCGCAACCTCTGAGTTAAAATACAGTAAAACTGCGTGGTTCACATTTACATAAATTACAAATATATAATTAACTGCAACCACCATAGAAAAGAAAACCGAACACAGCGTAAATTTTACTTTTGAAGTTGCTTAAGTTAATGAATACTAATTAATCACATTTTAAAAGAAAAGTATGAAACAACTAGGCTATATGGAAATAAAGAAAGAACTCACCTTTGAAAATACGAGCGTGGGAGGTAATTTAAAATTAATCCGTCGTATTAAAAAAAATCGTTTTCCCACTATGTACAAGTGCCTGACACCGACGAACTACTCTTTCAGGCGCTGTGAGAAGTTAAGTGCGCACCCTTAAAATAAACTCCGCCCGTTTCCTGTGGAATCATAATGAACGTAGTTCAAATTGCCTGGTATGTCATTTGTTCTAAGTTATGTAAACATTCCTTTCAGCTACATATCAGCAAATAATAGTAACCACATAGCAATGTGACGCAGCAACAACTTGGGGATTGAACGTGAAACCTGGAAGTCGATCAAAAGCAAATGTTCCCATATAAGGTAATGTAGGCATGTTTCTGTCACATCGACTTTATCTTTACTTCCACATACTTCATTGGGCAGGGCGCTGATTAACCTGAGACAGGAGAGGAACGGAGACATACTTTGAACTAGATCTTGCATCTAAAGAAATACACTACACGCACGCGCGCGCGCACACACACACACAGGCCTGTACACAGGCTGTAAATTAATAAATATTTACAAATCCATATAAAAACAATAAATCATTATATTATATAATGATTATTAAAGAAATCGTATTACGGATTACAGGCATTACAAATAAGCACTTCCTAAGTCATTGTATCTATTATAACTTAATTATTGTAGAAGCGTGTAAGAGTTATGTTACTATAACAAGTCACCTGACATGTGCCTTTGTGGTCAATTTGACCCCAGGGTAGGCGTGAGGATTAAAGAGAGCAAAAGTGTATTATACAGACTACGTAACTTTCCAAAATCTTAAATTCTCCCAACCTTAGGATAACTATGCAACTCATGACATAACGATAAAAGTTTTACTACAGTCCTCTAAAGGTTTACCACAGTATACGTAGTCCCCCATATCTGCGGCTGATACGATCCGCGGATGTGTTGCAACTTAATTTGCAATGAAACCAATCATATGTTACGGTTTGTTTAGAGCCCGCCCACTGAATTTGATGGATGACTTCGACGGATTATATGGCTGCTTGTATCATTTAAAATGTATTTTAAATAGTCGTTTAAATTACAATTTAAATTTTTCATTTAAATGACATTTATAAATAATCACTTAATTAAAAATTTTAAACGACCATTTAAATGACATTTATATATTGAATATTGTCACAAAAAACCCTCCACACCTCACAGTCCTAGTCCAAAAGCGCAAAAGATATCGCCGGGGTGCATCTTCAGTGATTCAGTTGGTGTGCAGAATTAGGTAGAAGAAAATAGTTAACATTAGGCAGTTCACTATAAAGTCAGTGGATTATCTTGAGTAACCAGGTCATGATAGCTGCTCAATTTTTCAAATTTATTTTTCTGGCACTTTAATCACCACAGAAAAAATGCAATTCACTCCCCTTACATTCGAGAGAAGGCCAGCATTTCTAATGCAGATATGTCCAAAACTAGACAACTTCCCAACAAAACCACCTATTAATGAAATACATCTTTCAGTTTTGGGGTGAACTGCCACTTCAGGCTGATTTTTCATTTTAAAAAGTACCAGCAAGTCTACTAAACCCATTTTCAAATTATTTTCACTTTCTCACAAGTCACATGGAATTCCAAAAACTACAATAGCAAGAGTCCACTGTAAGTACACCAAAGAAATGAATTATCTGCATCTCATATAGAAGCAATACATATAGACAATACATATACTGGAATTTCTTACCTTTGTATTAGTTTGATATCCAATACTTCAGAGTAGCCAACTTTGGTCAGCTGGCTAGCATGAGATTTTTACATTTAGATGTAAGAGTTTTACTTTGTGAAGTCTGTAGGGTTTGCCAACTACCCCAACACATTTGATATATATTTTAAGTTTATAATATAGATTTGCTGTAAGATTTATTTCAGAGTCAGAAAGCATGAGTGTCACGCCAGATGAGTGAGAGTTGGCAGCCCTGGTTCTTCATTACAGCACATCGATTTATACCACTATAGGTGCTTATGAGTGTGTATGTTAACTTTAAAAGCAAACCATGATCTGGGAAATGGAATGGAAGCATGTCAGTACAGAGAATAGTAGTACACAGCAGGCAGTGTAGCTAGCTTGGTAGCTAACTAGGTTGGTGACAACTCAAATGATGGCCTGATTGACAAATGTCAGATTACAAATCTTAAAATAGCTAGCTGGCATTGGAATAAGCAATGGAATTTAACATAAGCAGGGCTGGAAATTAAAATTTGCCTGCAGGCAAATTCAACTGCATGGCTAACTACAATGAAGTAACCAGCATTAGTCTCCATTTCTGGAGCAAATTAGTAGAGATATTAGTAAAGTACATGGAATATTAAACTGAATAATAAATAATTTATATAT